GTGGTACCGGTGCCGGTCATCGCACAGGGATTTGCGCACTTACCTTCGCAATAGAGACTTTCCAGTGGTCCCGGGCAATCTTTCGGGCTCACTTTAGTTCTTCTGGGAATCTGCTTTGGAAGTGGAGGTGTTACTTTTTTCTCTCTATAAATTGTCTTAACAACTTAGTGAGCTGGAGTTATTGTCATTTTCTTTACAAGACGTGAATTAAGAAAATCAAGTTCTTCTTGTAATTTTTGGAATGTTGCCCAGGGGGGTGGCGGTTGGTTTTTAAATAATAGCCACTTTAAGTGCGCTGTTCTTTTGTTTATTTGGACGCCCCCACGATTTGCCATCTCTACTCACTCAGATTTATATTTCTAAATTCCAGTTGGAATTCTTTCCAGCTGCAGTTCTTTCAGTTCGAATCCAGTGTGCGGTATTGAGGAGCATCGTACGAGACGATTGATGCAGAGCGGTCGTGGTTGCGGTATGTGCCCCACCACCAAGGCTGGTGCTACAGGAGGCAGAAGTTTCCTGGACCTATGTCCGTGGATGCATTCCGATCTACCAAGTCACGGTCGCCATGTAAACGTTCCCATTTAAGTCCTCTACTTCCGCCAATATAAATGATAATAAGGCCAACCTTTAGGTTTTAGTTTTCTATATTGATTGCTTCTTAACTCTATTACAATTCTCTAATACAATTACTAGTGAGATTGTAGCTGCGCCGCCAGAGACGCCGGCAGAGCAGCGTTCAACGCTTATGTATAAACGTATGTATTAGTAGCGGCTGGCGAAGAGTCCCCGCGGCAGAGGAGAGGTCTTCACATGGTGTTCACATGGTGACATAACCGTCGCGCATGTCAAATATGCAGACTCAGCAGTGCCCAGACCCAGTGCACTCAACGGCGACCATTTTACCGAGCACTTGAAGAACGGTTTGGCACCTGGATTGTGGTTAAGTGCTACAATGTGTTTGTAATAACATTAATGCATAACACTGAGTACAGTGTGCATTCGATATGTGAACATACTACACATCTGTTTGAACCGCGAGGTGTAAAAGGCCATCCGTCTCTATGTAAGGCTAAAGTCCATAAATTGCACTATCCTTTGACAGCACTTTGTTTATTACCAATGACGTAATCTCATTTGCGTTTGCCTCTTGCTGGACCAGTCTACATATCTCGATTTCGGCATCAGATAGTTCGTCGGCAGTCAAAAATCCTCTCTTGGATGCAAGTTTAAGGTTTTCGACGCGTTACTCAGACTTCAACGCGCTTTAGATTACTGTAAGAAGAGAATCGATTGAAATCTATTACTGAGACTTCTACCTGACACTTTAGAATTTTGCGTTTGCAAAGTTCCTCTTCCAATGGATCCGTTGAAGCTATGTCAATCATCTGTGGCCAGTCTGAACGTGGCGATTTCAAGAAACTTGTACCAAGTATCCACTGGCTAAGATCCCAGCAATTCGGTGGCCGACAAATGGTTTAAACTTTCTTGATTTCGAAAAAATCCACTGCAGTACGGTTTTGGAATCACTCCAAAACAAGTTGCCTTATGTAGGTAGCTTAAGATGTTCTTGTAACAAGCGACTTAACCGAACCCCAAGAATGGCAGCTTGCAGTTTTAATCTAGGAATAGAAAGGAGTTTCTTCGGAGCTAAACGCGTTTTTCGAATGACAAAGGCAACATCAACTTTGGTTGGACTAAGAACACGCAAATAGGCAACAGCTGCAAAGGCAGCCTGGCTTGCGTCAACGAAAATAGACATTTCCAATTTTGCATAACAACTTAAGTTGGGAGAGTATACTCGCGGAACTTTAACTGCATATGACACAGTTCTGATAACCAGTAGATCCAATTTTGATGTAACTCTGTTGGTATATCCTCATCCCAATTTGTACCATAGCTCCATATATTCTGTACAAGAATTTTGGCAGATATATGATAGTCCGCAATCAAGCCAAATGGGTCAAGTATTGCCATCACTATGCCTAGTAGGTCTCTCTTAGTTGGAACTCGATCTCCATCTATTACTTCTTTCGGTATTCGATGAAACTTACTTTCGTATTGAAAGACATCTGCTGCGTATTCCAATACATGCCCAAGACCTTTTTACTGCTCAATTGGTGTTGTAGATAACTTGACTTCTTTTGGAAGTTTTTACCATTCATGACGCTCTGTAATGTATCGGAATTCGAGCAAAAATTACGTAGTTCGAAACCTCCAAAACTATGAAATTCATAGTAATACCTTGAAAAGGACTGTACTGGTAAATCTATGTTCTTTACAGCTTGTACGCCTTTTAGGTAGGTCGGCTATTTTAGACATTTCAATACTCTTTTTGTTATCATACCACTGTAGAGTTAATGGAAATTGTTTACTATTTAAGCCATTTGTGTTCTTCCTTGCACAAAATGCAGCCTGAGACTGTATGTGTATTCGCGATAAATACTGGCTTCGATTTGAATGTAAGTAATTGTCTTCCTGAAGTATCCACCACGGCTGGTAATCGACCAACTATTCTTGCAGTAGAGATCAACCAAGAGGAAAAATCGGCGATATAGGGAGACACGGCTTTACTCTCTGCGCTCTGGAGCCATTCCATCTGTAAGTGAGTTGGAAGTTTTGTTAAAAGTTCTTCTAAGTGCTCGTTGTGTTCTCCACAAACATTCATTGAACATACTACAACAACATTGGTGGTTTTTGACATATCAAATTCTACTCTTGGGAATATCAATCTTTTAACGTTTCAGAATTTCAAAGAAAATTTAAAAAAAATCGGACGACTTTGTCATATATATCGACTATCGATCGAAAAATTAATGTCAAAATAGTACAAATACCATTATGTTTCGTTTTTGGTAAACATAGGGTAGTAAACTGAAATGGAATATTATCTTAAAATTTCTTTACTTTGCTTTTAGTTTTATAAAAATACATACAATGCTCCCACGCGAACGACCTGCAAGGGTTTAGAAACTTTGGCTTGTCCGAATTTCGAGCTCAAAAAAAGGTGGGAGATGAATTAAGGCAGATTTCCATAGATGTTTGATCTAACAGCCTGTAGTGCGTCCTCAGAAAGGCCATTTTCGAAAGAGAGCTGAGAATAAAATATTGTTTGGTAGCAAAAAAAATTAGGGAAGTCAATGTTTAAAAAAAAAACAAGGAAGAACGCTATATTTGAGTACGTCGACTATCAGATACCCGTTACTCAGCTAAAGGGACCAAAGGAAAATGGAAGTATGCAAGCAGCAAAGAGAGATTGAAATGCGACACCTACCGGCGGTAGACAGATTTAAGCGTAATGGGCGTTAGAGTGGGCGTGGCAAATTTTTTTTTTTGATCAATCAATAGGTATTGACGAGACCAATACATTTCAGTTAAAATTTTGCATCTAGCATAAAAATTGTGGGCCTCACAGGTTTGGGCGGTTTGTGGGCGTTAGAGTGGGCGTGGCATATTCGCGTGACAAACTTGCGCTGCGTACAAGGCTACGGAATCTAAATCTGAGAGCCCAATTCTCTATCTTTGATAGTTTCCGAGATATCCACGTTCATATCTACGATTTTTTGAAGTTTGTGGGCGGTTTGTGGGCGTGGAATCTGCATGCCTAATCCCAGTATTGTAGCTCCTATAGTTTCCGAGATCTCAGCGTTCATACGGACAGACGGACATGGCTAGATCGACTCGGCTAGTGATCCTGATCAAGAATATATATACTTTATGGGGTCGGAATCGCTTCCTTCTGCCTGTTACTTACTTTCCGACGAATCTAGTATACCCTTTTACTCTACGAGTAACGGGTATAAAAACACTTCAGCAAAAAATGTAATAAAATGTTTTTGCATTAACACTTTTTAACAGCACTCTTGAACTGTTAAAGTTAGCCATATTTAAAATAATTTTTAAAAATGTAATTCTTTTATTAACTAGAAATGAAATATTACCTTTATTCAAGAGTGACGCAGAAATTTCTTTTGCCATGTATGATGTTAATAACAATATGCTACGAGCGCCGGTTATGGCAGACAGAGAGGAAGATAAGAAAGACGAAAAAACCTCGGTCTGTTATGTGGCGAGAGCACCATAAATTGCACAATGTAGCTCCAATCAGCTAAAATAACAAGTCAAGCAACTAGTTGGAAAATTTTGTCGAGCACTAAAGCAACCAGCAGTGAATTTGAATTCGAAAGCTTACCCTAGCGGAATCCAGAAGTGGGTTAGTTGGAAATCCATCCAAACATTAAAACAAAACAAGAAAGAACGCTGTAGGCGACGGGCTCAACTATTAGACAGCCAAAGTGAGTGCGAGGGAGATAGAGATATGCAAGCAGCAAATCGGATGTTTCCGAGACTGCACACCAGACCACCGCCACCTAGCGTTTATTTCCTTATTTGGTTTTCTATTTTGATCGGATGGTCAGATTTTAAAATGGTTTGCATGCAGATGGATGTTTATAATTAAAACCAAATCCCATTTACAAAATCTTCAAAAATGTGAGCGCTAGACAGGTTTTAGCGTTAGACGTTGGTTGTCAGAGTGGGCGTAGCACCCCAAACTTGCGCTGAGCATGAAGCCCAATAATCTGCATGCTTAGTCCCAACATTCTAGCTCAGTTTACGAAAGACAGATAGACGGAAATGTCTAAATGGACTCGGCTAACGATCCTGATCAAGAACATACATATATACATACTTTCAGACGAATCTAGTCTGAAAAAAAAATATGCTTAAATTTTCTAACTAATGTAGAACTCCCGCTACCCGCTATTTTCAAATTTTTATTGCATTTCGAAAAGCCTAGTGTGCACATATGTAATGTCGTTGCGTTTCGAAATGTTTCGGTGAATTCTTCAAGGTCTTATTAGCTATCGTGGAAGAAATCATATAACCGTATTGTTATGTTGCTTATCAGACGCTTTACAAAATTATTTTCATTGCTTTATAGCGCTGTGCCCAACCAATCGACATTAATAATGACATCACAACACTAATAACATCACTACAAAAAGATTTTTCCCCATTTGTTTTATTTTGCTCATAAGTTTCAACGTATTCTGTACATGCAGCCACCCCTGGCCAATTTTCTAAACATTATTCTTACGTAACAGTTTCAAGAGGCTATCAAAAATAGTAACTGATTGGTTAGTTGATTAGTAGTTTACTGTCGTTAGGGTTACAATGAGAGACAAATCACACTGCTTAGTGGCTTTACAATTATGATTTAAAAGTAACATAAATATGTATCGAAACACTATGAGTTACAAGTTAATTAAAGTGCTTGAAAGTTCTTCTTCTTAGTTAAGCCAAACTAAGCTCTCAATCTAGCATTAATACCAAAAATGTTATGCATTTAATCTTTCGATATATGCACTGTAAGCTTATTATCTAATCATTGCTGATTAGCAGGTGCTGTGTATTTCGTAGGTGCTTTTTTTTGCAACTGCAGTAAACGTCTTAACGATGTATATATACATAATAAGCCGCTTAAGGTCTAACGCTGAGGTTACATCCACGGCAGGAAACCTTGAATAGCATCGAATTCTTAGGAGGCCAGGCCCCGCTGGCGGCGCTTCACGCGGGCATATGGTCCCACTGCTGGGTCCATGATGAAGTCGTAAAGTACCCGGGTCCAGCTGGTGTGCTGGGGCATTGTGTCGTAAAATTCCTTGGCGATGCGCTTAACCTCGGGCAGCCTGGAGCCGGGCACCGACGGGAAGTCGTGATGCTCATTATGATAGCCCACATTGAAGGTAATCCAGTTGAGCGGGCCGTAGTAAGAATACGTTTCAAATCCTTTAGAAAACATATAATGTTCCGAAATAAAGTGTCCGGCCACCGGGTGCAAGCCCATCGCGAGAATACTACCGATCAGCAGATAAGCCATTGGCTTCCATCCAAGAAAGTAAACGATAAAAGCGTTGAAAGTCAGCTGCACCACAGTGTTGATAAATTCCAGGCGCGTAGGTGGCTTCGGGTTAATCACCAGTGGTCGGAAAATGTAGAAGAAAGGCTGAAGGCACACCCACAAAAACTTTCCAAACGTGGTGTCAAAAAGACGGGCCTCTAGCAGTGTGGGTATGTCAGTGTCAATTGCCTCCTCGCCTTGGTAACTGAAAGGGAAACATAAACATATTGATATAAGAAAAAGTTAGTGGGTTGTAATAGAATCTAGTTTAAGATAGACTTTTTTTTGTCCTACCGATTCACCCAAGCTCATAAAGTATATATAGGAGGAGTTAAGTATAAGTAAGAATAACAAAAATTTTCCATCCATAATTTTGTTCCTCAAACGAAAATGTGTACTGGGGTCGGGACTACTGGTGCACCTGGCGTTTATGTCATCCTTATCTGCAACTACATATTTTTAGCATAAATGTTTCTTAAAAAAAAATTTGCGTTAGAAATTGGGTATTAGTGTAAACTTTGCAAACCCGATAATAGTGAGTCAATTGAATTTGACTTGCAGTCCGCAACACTCTGAGCTACGTGACCAATTGAGCGCCTATTGGGATATATGTACATTCATATAAGAACAGCCTTATCTTATCAACGTAATTTAGAGGCACTCGATGTCCAACAAAACAGAGTAACAAGCAAGTTGACTCACGCTTGCCGGAAACTTTCCTGTAACACGGAATGAAAAGGGTGCAGTGTTTGGCAACTAATGGCGTATATGTACATTAAGCGTAAATTAAACCGGCGGTGGAGGAAAGGGATGTTTTCACTGCCCTGAGGTACCATTCATTCGGGTCATCACCGAGCGCTTAATATGTATAAAAATTGGTGCTGATTTAAACGTATGTATGCATGACCTACGATTCACCACTGCAAAAAACTGGCACACTTTGAGCACCTTTTAAGCACTAAAAAGGCGCATTTGCGCGGTTGCGTTCGGCTCTGTGGCGTCGCAGTCCACTGCATGATGATTTGTGTACCAGTGCTAAATAGTAGAACTGCAGGGTGCTTACTGTGTGACTACGCTCCAGTAACAAGAAATATAGTCAATGTATGTGTAATAGTAAGGTGTACGTCGCCATGAAACAGAGAGGAACAACACTTACCGGTGATGTTCCAGATGATACTTTTTAAACGAAATGCTCATGGGCAAGCCGATGGGCAAGTTACAGATGAAGCCCAAAATCCTATTCAGGATGGGTCGGCTGTGTCCGAAGGCCAAATTATGAGATATTTCGTGGACGGCCAGCATCAGCGAGTGGTTGATAATGCCACCGAAGCAGTAGGCGGCCACGAGGAGCCACGACCACGACAGGTCCTTGACTACGAACAATGACAGGACTTGGGTAAGCACCATCGCGCCAGCCACCCACTTGAAGTTGGGATCGTGGCCAAAGAGCTTCTTGATCTGCGGGTACTTCGCCAGTATAAGCGTGCGCCGCGAGGCGTGCGGCTCCTCTGTGTACACCCACTCAAAATCGCTGCGCGAGACTCTCTGACCCATCTTGGATGTATTGGTTGGTTGGGTTCTAGGATGTTAAGGGTGGGTAACTGCTACGGGTCGGTGCTAGTAGGCTAATATAAGCTGCCCCGACGTCCGACAATACGGTATAGCTGGGAGAAATCGATGTCAACATCGATTTTTTCTTCGGTCGATGCAACGATCCGGTTTTGAAAAAATCGATGTATCGAATCTATTGTAAAGATAAATTCCACCACTGTAAAAAAATAATAGATATCGCCAGTGAATTTTCGATGAACGCCGTTAGCCGCGGCCCAAAGTATAAGAAATTTTATCTTTGGCGGTGTTCGTGCAGAAGCGGTGGGGAATTTAAAAATTACAAATGGAACAAAAACACCAAAAACGGCTAAAGAAGGTCAGTCCAGATGGATTCTCTAGTGGAAATCCTCCAGCACTTCAACTATTCTGCGAATTTGCCCCTTTTGTGGAATTGCTTCCTGTCGGTGAAATCCCGAAATAAAGGGCATAAGCTTGGATTTGGTGTCCTATTTCATCTGCTCTGACCTTCTGGATTCGATTTTGGGGTTTTCCTTCCATTTTTAACTTTTAGTTTCCACATTGCCTTTACACGAACACCGGCAAAGATTTAATTTCTTATTCTTTGGGCCGCGGCTAACGGCGTTCATCGAAAATTCACTCGCAAAATCTGGTATTTTTTCTGGTATTTCCTTAGCTCATCTGAGTACCGCGCTGAAAAACAGACCGGACGTAAAGCGTTAGCCGCGTAATTGCCTCTCGCTCACTCCTATGGTTAGCTCGCGGTTTTCGTCGATCTGAGTACTAGGCTTTAAGAAATAAAATCTTTCGGTGTGTTCGTGCAGAAGCGGTGTTGAGCAATAAATTAAAAATGAAAGAAAAACGTAAATACATTTACATAACCCAGAACATTGAACGTTCCATTATTTTTAGATTTTATTTATTTGTGAACCAGCAGACTAATCTTTTTTTAAATTGCCTCTATTGTTTTTTTCCCGTATGTCAACAAACCTAGTTGCCTGACAGTAACACCTATGCACACAGAGGGAGTTTTCGCTTCAGTGACTAAATTCCGCTACAGTGACTTTTCTTCCATAAGAAATACACGTGCTAGATAGAGACGGGAAAAAGTCGCTACAACTCGCTTCAGCGCAAAACGGTACCGCACACGCATCTCGGTTCAGTATTTCAGTGTTTTTAGTACTCAGTGATATCCGTACTTGCCGTTTCCGGATTTTGTTAAGAAGAAAATGTACTTGAACTGCAATGGCGCGTTAATTTTTATTGTTGCAGTGCTAAGGAGCCTGCCAACGGCTTGGAACTTAGCAATTTATCTCATCTGGAAAAGAAATATTGCTATGCTCTTTTAAAAGGAAGTGACCAACTTCCAGATTAAGTCCTCCTTGGCAACACATGGCAGCTTTTGCACCACAACGTACATTATTTATGTATAAGAAAGCACTTTGAAGGCGCATTTACATTTTGAAATGTTTGCCTACGCAAGAAAGGTGTTATTAATACGTAAAAGGTATCAGTTCTAACTTGGGAAAATTCTCGTGGCGTCACTGTTGGCCCACAATAGTCCCTATTAAATTTTCACTACGCTTGCCTTAATGGAAATCTCATCCTTGATCAATTTTTTAATAGCAAGGATATAACTATTTGACGCTGAAAACATTCCGCATGCCAGCGTTATAAATGTATTTCGTTTTGCATGGTTTTTTTTTTGCGCTTTTTTCCGGAGCAACTGAACTTGTACGTACTTTTCCTTCGGATACGATTTGCTTATGCCGATCAACTGTTCGCTTCAACAATTCTCTATGTGAAACAGAACCCGCTTAGAATTGAAACAGCGATTGTAAACGGCTGCGTGCAGAGGCTATAACAACATGATATATGCATTGAGGGTAACATTGAAACCTCCGGTCACAATGTAAAGAACTCGATTTTTTACCTAGTCCATGTCCGTCGAATTACCGTCGGCCAATTAGCAACGAAAGTGGGACGGTGGAACTTGAATTATTAACATTGAATTTTTCACTCTTTTTGGGGACCAAAACGAAAAATCTAAATTGCGAAAATTATAAAGAAAAGATCTAACGATCTAGGTAGGCTTGGAGCAAATCCGAGGCTTAATAATGTTTCAAAAATGCATTTTCGTGTTACCAAAATGTTGGTTAACTGCTTCCCTCACAGAGGTTGTGCCAAGATACACGATAAGGCTATTAAGGGGGGCACTCTATGAAATGGGTTCAAAAATTCGATTTTTTTTTATTGCTTTAATCGATAGATATATTATCTGAGAACATAATTGCAAAGTTTCAAAGTCGAATTCCTATTACTTTCGGAGATATAATTTCTAGAATTTGCTCGTGCATAGTCATGCCAGGTGTTCGTTACTACAGCGTCGCGCGTTTTCTCAAAACCACGTTTTTAGAGTCCGTCTTCACGATGAAAAAAAACCATTGAACCGATTTTCAAAAATGAACACTCATTTTGTAGGATATTGAACAGAGAAGTGCATAAACCACATAAATGCATGAAAAAAATTTTTTTTTCAATGTTTTTTCAATAAAAACAACAGAGCAAAAATTCACTTTTTTGTTTTTATATGGTTTTGTTGCTAATTTTAAAAAATTTCAATAGTTTTTGAGGTTCATGCACTTGAGACAAGCCTGCTGATTAATTTGTTATATAATTTGTATGTTTCAGACTTCAACTTGAGACGATATCGTGAGGACGGGGAGACAACTTTTTTAAAACCAGCCGTGGGCGATGTTCAATATGTCCGCCATTTTTAATTTTTTTTACAAACAAAACCTTGTTTTCCTAACTTCAAACGCACAGTTTTTGAGACAATCGCCTAACAATTAACGAACCTCGAATTTTTACCGTACAAAAAAGGGGGCAAAAACCAAGTTACCGACGGCTCCACTCATAGAGGTTGTGCCAATATGCACGGTATATGGGCAGTTGGCGGATCATCTAGGGAGTGTTCTGTGAAAATTTTATCAAAAACAAACCCACAGATTTGGAGAAAATTGCTTTACATTGCTTGCACGGTACCTCATTGGAAAGGGCATTTTTTAAACTACTTTATGAATTAGTTAAGGCAAAATCAAGCCCACAGATTTCGAACAAATCAAGTGGTTACAAAGCTGTCGTCTTCTTGCACGGTCACACCGGCCACCCTTACTTCCCGAGATATTTCCCCTATGGGGACATACGTAGCTTCCATACGATTTCTAAATAATCAATTGCAGCTCTCACGGAGGTTGTACCAACTGGCATGGTACCTTATTGGAAAGGGCCGTCTTTAAACTAATTTCTGAATTAATTACAGCAAAAGTAAACCCACAGATTTCGAGAAAATCAAATGATTTCAAAGCTACCGTCTTCTTGCACGGTCACACCGGCCAGCATTATTTTCCAAGACATTTGCCCTATGGGAAAACACGTAGCTTCCATACGATTTCTAAATAAATAATTACAACTCTCACAGAGGTTGTTCCAACTTGCACGGTACTTCATTGGGAAGGGCAACTAATTAATGTATAAAATCAAACCCACAGGCATTTTCCATAAAAAAGTAATTATATCGATATATCGGCAAGGGCAGGTCACGACAATAAATTAAGCCATCTGGCAACTCTTTAATTTTGCGGAAAGCATTCCCCGTTACTTTAGAAAAAAAAACACGAAGAGAAAAGATATAAAACTCAACTTTAATAAATTAATCAAAAAAATTTCATGTGTAAGTAACTATGAATGCTATTTTCTGCATGTTTATCATAATTATTGCTTATTTCAGCACAAGAGGCCAACTGTTTAGGCTTCTTGCATCCAAGGTATATTTTATTGCAGCGTGTCGAATGAGAATATTTAAGAAGTGTATTTATTTAGTCAAATTTACAAGCATTTTTCGTAATAAAAGTTGATATCACAAGTTTTTTTTGTTTATGAATGTGATATTTCTCCGGAATCGCCTTCAAGGGGGTTGAATTCTTACATGCGTGCATAAGTTCGTGTTCGATTTTATGTGGAAACTTTCCCACTTTTTCAAACGAGATAAAATCCCCAGAACAAAATTTCTTTAACCATTTATTTCAAATATAACGGGTATGCCATTTGAATTGTCCATTTTTCATGCAAGTTATCCAACATGTGAAACGGTTACACTTATGGAATTTATAGAAAAATTTTTTGAATTCAATCTCAGCTATATTGCCCTTGCCTTCAGCGACATTGCCTTTGCCTCTGCTTAAGATTCTGCCTTTGCCTTTTCCATTAGCTTGGAGGGCCGCGCTTGACCGTCCTGCTAAGATAAATAAACCAATCGTAAAGAAAAACACAAGCTTCCGTTCGAAGCCCAATCTCTTTCGTTCGAAGCCTAAGTTCAGATCATATTGCGTTCCGATTTTCAATCAAATTGAATCGGTCAGCATAATTTCATTTCACATCGAGAAAAAAAAAATACAAATCTAACCATACAACAAACAACCATAACAATCCCAATTAAACCCAAAGTAGCAAGGAAGGGCTGTAGGGCATTCCCTCACCAACACTTGAAAAAGATTTCTCACTATCGACAAAAAGGAAGATCATCTCACAAACTGAAAGGAAGACCCCATCGGACAGTATCGTGAGGATAATTAAAATTTATTTTAAATAAGGTCCTTACAAAAATAAATTTAAGGAAAACAAGGAAGAACGCTATAGTCGAGTACCTCGACTATCAGATACCCGTTACTCAGCTAAATAGGGATATGCAAGTAGCAAAGCGAGATTAAAATGCGCCACCTACCGGCGGTATACAGATTTAAGCGTTATGGGCGTTAGAGTGGGCGTGGCAAATTTTTTTTTGGACCAATCGATAGGTATTGACAAGACCAATACATTTCAGTTAAATTTGTTTATCTAGCATGAAAATTGTGGGCGTCACAGGTTTTCGCGGTTTGTGGGCGGTAAAGTGGGCCTGGAAAACTTTTTTTTGGACTAATCGATAGGTATTGATGAGAACAATACATTTCAGTTAAAATTTTTTATCTAGCATGAAAATTGTGGGCGACACAGGTTTTCGCGGTTTGTGGGCGTTAAAGTGGGCGTGGCAAACTTTTTTTTGAGTCAATCGATAGGTATTGATGAGAACAATACATTTCAGTTAAAATTTTCTATCTAGCATCAAAACTGTATGAGCCACAGTTTTGGGCGGTTTGTGGGCGTTAGAGTGGGCGTGGCACTCTACTGAAACAAACTTGCGCTGCGCAGGAATCTCAGGAATCTGCGTGCCTAATCCCAGTATTGTAACTCTCATAGTTTCCGAGATCTCAGCGTTCATACGGACAGACGGACAGACGGACATGGCTAGATCGACTCGGCTAGTGATCCTGATCAAGTATATATATACTTTATGGGGTCGGAAACGCTTCCTTCTGCCTGTTACATACTTTCCGACGAATCTAGTATACCCTTTTACTCTACGAGTAACGGGTATAAAAACTTGATAAAAACATTGATAATTAAAGAAAACAATCTAGAAAATTTAATAGATAGTTTTGGTGGTAAATTAGTTAGCAGTGGCAGCCGGAGGTTCAGCTTATTTTTCTGCAGGTCGCTTAGCCACAGCCAGTAACCTAACTAAACATAATTATTAAAATAATAGATTAATTAATGTTCAATTGAGCGAAGTAAGTAAAAAAATAGATGGCTTAGAAGAAAGGTAGATACAGATGCAAATATAGTATAGGACGATAAAATTTAAGAAGTTGACCCAAAAATAAAATGTGAAACCACTTTTGAAGTAATAAAATCATTCCCGAAGTTCACCGGGGAACCAACGCAATACCTTATTGGAAAGAGTATTTTTTAAACTAATTTAAAAATTAGGTACGACAAAATTGAAAGCTGTCGTCTTCTTGCACGTTCACACCGGAATTCATCACTTCCCAAGACATATACCCACGGGGCTTCCATATGATTTTGGAAACATTAATTACAGCTCTCACAGAGGTTATGCCAACTTGCACTGTACCTCATTAGAAAGGGAATCTTTTAATCTCATTTTTGAATTAATAACAGCAAAATCAAACGCAAAGGTTTCGAGAAAATCAAGCGGTTTCAAAGCTTTCGTCTTCTTGCACGACCACTCCGACCAGCCTCATTTCACTTGTTTCAAAATAAAAATAATAAGTTACAAGATAAAGTCCAATTTAAACCAAAATTCAAATTTAATAAACAAAAATGTTTTTACTGTGGGACGATAGGGCACTTAAAGAAGGATTGCTATAAGTATAAGAAAGAGAAAGAAAATGAGAATAAGAAAGAATATTTATCATATTATTTATTATCGTATTAGAAGTTATTAAGTATTTACGTAAAAAATTCTTGGAGATCATGTCCGAGGGTAAGAACGTCAGAGATAAGCACGACCACCAGATAAGTTCAATGGGTCCTCCAGACGACGAAAATGAAGATATCTGGTCCACGGGCGTAGAGGGTGTTGCTGAGTTGCCGCGGATATCGCTGGCAGGGGGGTTATCCAGAACGCCGGTAGGCGGTAGTGCCGTGGATCGGATTAGGGAACAACCGGCGGATCTGGTATACCATCGGTCACCCAGGGTCCTTGATTTCAAGGCGATCATGGAGCAACAGGAGCAACTTCTGGTTCCGGAGCAGAAGAGTCCTCAAAAGCTGAACCTGGAACGAAATACAGCGGCGGAGTCGGCGATGAACGCAGCTGTGGCACAAGCGGTCCTAACCTATCGCGAACCTCAGGAGTTGGGAGTTAGCCAGGCGTTGACGGAGGAAATCAAGAACGGCTTAATGGACATGATGAAGTTGCTGAACGACGTCCTTAGGCCACCCGAGAGCAGACCGCAGCCGCTCCAGAAGGCGGCGCAAATGGACCAGCGGAAATTCATCAGCGGCAGAAGACAGGAAGATGCTACCGAAGGCCGACGGAATTGCCGCCCAGGCAGAGAACTCGACCGCCGGTGAATGACTCTCCGGTGTTTAATAGCAGCCTGAGCCAGGATCCGGAGTACCATCCGACAGGCAGGAGTGATCGCTACGCACGGCCGAGGCGCATCGAGGATCGAAGGACGTCGGATTTCCGGGACTAGCCGCGGTTGTATGCCAACGCGGGAGCCGGCAACGGGACGTAGACGATTTCGTGTTCCGTCTAGAGTTCCTGCAGCGACAGCATTAGTGTCCGTAGAATGAAGTTCTACGGAACTTTCACGTCCTCCTAATGGGCAGGGCAAATGAGTGGTATTGGGTACACGTACACCAATCCAGAGTGGACACTTGGGCAGGGCTCTGATAGATCGGTTTCGTGGTCTCCAAACGGAGCACGAAAGGATGCATGAGCTGCATCGGGAGGAGTGCGTCGAAGTAGAGAGGAACTTCGGTCGTCGAGGGCGTGCTGCTTTCTTGGAGCAGAGTAAGTTACGGGTCAGCGAGGCGCACATACAGGAAACCTCGAAGTGGACGAGCTCCGAGGGCGTGTCCGAAACCCATTCAGGCTGGGTTACTGGAATTGCGGGGCTGCGGAGCACGGATTGCAGGATTGCGAGGCTACGGAGTGGAGGAGGTTCTGTTTCCGGTGCGGCAGACCGGGCGTGATTTCTCCGAAATGTAAGTCGTTTACGTTCTACTTTTGCCCATACCTGAAACAATCAGTTTACTTCGGACTAGCTCCTGCCGTCGTAGAGAAGCCGGTGACGAGAGGCGTCAAGGCAGCGGAGGAAATCCATGCCAGGCAGATGGAGCACTACGTCGATCAGGAAAATGAGGACGAGGTATGGGAGAAACCCGATTCCTGGAGCCTTTCTGCGGAGGAAAGGCTGGCTTTAGGAAAGGTCAAGGAGGAGTTCCTTAGCTTTGAAAGGGATGGCCCTTGAGTCACCAGCATGGAAAGGCATTCCATTGAGCTGATGGAAGATCGGGTGTTTAAGGATCGTCCGTATCCGATTTCTCCGGCGAAGCAGAAGGTGGTCGAAGATTAAATCGACGAGATGTTGGAGCTGGGTGTCATCGAGGAGATCAAAAGCCCGTGGGGCAATCGCACAACAGTAGTGTCGAAGACAGGGAAAGACAGGTTCTGTCTCGATGCCCGGAAGTTGAACGCATTGACCATTAAGGATGCATACCCTCTGCTCAGTATTGAAGAAATCCTCTCCAGGAGAGATCAGACGCATTTTATCTCCAGCGTAGACCTCAAATTTGCGTTTTGGCAGATTGAACTGGATAACAGAAGCAAGGAGTACACTGCGTTCACGGTTCCAGGCAGGCCGTTGTACCAGTTTCAAATGATGCCATTCGCTGCTCATTGCTGCGTCCCACTCCTTTCCACGGTTTCTCCGCCTGATCACACCATCCGTGCGTGATCGATGTTTTTGCGACTATCGATACCGACGGTGCGGCGTTGCCACCTGCTCGTTGCGATATTTCCACCTTTGCCGATATTTCCATTTTCGTGTGCCCATCGATCGCACTATCGTCCAGTGCCAATCGATCGCCTATCGAGGCGCCCCCTTCCCTGGTTCGTGGTGATTTTGCAACTTTCATACGTAAGTTTTTTTTGCATTTCTTTCACTCCTTTTCATCTCATCCTTTTCTATCTTTTCGTCCTCTCTCGCCCTTCACTCGTCCTCTGTTGGCTGCATCTGACTCCATATTGGTCCTCGGCGTGTGTCCGCTCCAGGGCCCGCCGCGGAGCTCGGGTAGGCCGGGTCCCCGACCATCCTTGCCCCGGGCGGGGTCCCTGTAGGGCCGCAATCCTCCTGCGCGCCTCAGACCTCGTGATGCGTGTGCTCATCTTGGTTTCTTGACTTGTAATGCTCGACCGTCGCCAGGCTCCCCTTACATGAAACCTCGGTTGCGCGCCTTCTTCTTTGCCCGACACCGTTATGACCTTTCCTGGGGCGCTCGCTCTCTTACGGTACAGCTCTCTTTGCTGTGTCGTCTTCCCCCTTTCTTTGTAAAATACAAACATTGTACTCCCTTAGATCATCGTGGCAATCTGGATGCTGCGGTTCGTTGTTCCTCTGAGTTCCCTAACCAACTTGCTTGAGACCC